CTTCAGCTTTTCTGAATCATATTTAAAAGATATTGTTCATAAGGCATTTCCTACTGCATGTTAACTACACAGCAATGCATTCCTGTCCTACTTATTAAGTGTAGGCAAACAACATGCTGTATCAAAAAATGTGAAAGGTTAATTCAGCTTTCTTATTTCTTTCTCATCCACAGAGTTTGACAAGTTCTTGGCAGAAAGGGCGAAAGCAGCCGAACGTCTTCCTTCAGTAAAAGCATCACATCACGATTCCGGCCGTTCACAACTGTAGTTGCTCATCTGCACAAACATGTTCAGAACTGTTTGTATTTCAGTTAACAACCATGCTCAAAGTATTTTCGGCCCATTTTTAACCATGTGCTCATTGAGTTCTGTAAATGTAAACTATAGGTTATTTGAGAAGTCTGATATCAGAGTCCTTTTGATTGCAGATGTGTCATCTTATGAAATATTTTTATAACTAGACACTAATTTCTTCTTTACTGACATTTTGGTTGTATGGTCATTTTCTTTAATCTTGAGAGTGGTGGCGCATGAAAAACATTATTGATCTTTTTTGAAAGATCTTGATGGTTGAGGTACTGTATATGGAAGCCTGTTTACAAAACGGTAATCACAACTTTAACGCACAATTTATAATTGTTTTTTTTAACTCTGAGAAAATAAGTCAGAATTGCAAAAGATAAACAGAATTGTGAGATTTAAGCTAATTTTTATCTCACATTTCATTTCAATTCATGTGTCATAATTCTGACTTTTTTAGAACCGCAAGATTCTTTATAAAAGGAGTTTAACTTGGGGAGAAAAAGCAGTATTGGAAATGTTTAACTTGCAAGATGTAAACTCACAACTCGAAACAGAAAAGGTCAAATTGTAAGATTAAATAACTCAAATACTACCTAATCCTTGGTGAAAACAAGCTTCCATAGTTGATAGTTGTATGTATGTATGTATGTATTTTATTCAGCTGTTTTGAAGGAAATTGATTTTATAACAGGAAAAAAAAAACATTTGCAAGATACTTTTGTTTCTTTAAAAGAATATGGTTTATGTCTGCAGGCTGCTCTATGTCTTTAGTATGTTAAATATTAGTGTTTGTAATCTGTAAAACCTTAATAAGGAGTTCATAATAAGGGGTATGATAAAATATAAAATAAAATGAAGCTTATTTTGCATCTTTTAATGTTTATAACTCTGTATCACACACACACACACACATACACACACACACAATTATTTGTTTTTTAGGGAGTTTACTGGCTCAAAGATAAGTTCTTTTGCTAAAGGAATACTCTCCAATATTTATCACAAGTGTACAAATGCTGACTTCTAAAATTCTATTTGACATCTTATCTCCTACTTCATAAATACATTAATATTGTTTTACATGTGTGCAAAAAAATACTAATTAGATTAACATTTTATTAAATTAATTTTCTAACTATGTTGTCTAAAAGTTAACTTGCTTGACTCTGTGTTAAAACCCATATTAATCTCAAGACACTAAGAAACTAAAATTTAAGAAATTAAAATTCTTAAAATATCATTTTTAAAAATGTACCAAATTGTAAAAAAATATGAGAATTAAACATATTTAAAAATTGAAAGATAATACAAATAAATGCGAGCAAAATATTGCAAAGATTTAAATAGAATTTCAACTAAATTTTAAAATTTTTTTTTTCTGTTTCTCTTGATTTTACCTTTTTTTTTTTGTATTTAAAATGTTTCTTTAACATATTAATTAGGCTGTACTAGTTTTTGAACCGTTATCTTAAGTTTTTTTTTACTAGATAAGCTCCAGATTTGGCTTCAGTACTGACTAATCTAATGTATATGCACAAATATAATATTGTATAGCTTCCCATTAAAACTATGAATTTAAAAGATGGATTTGTGCGGGGTGTACTTATATATGCTTAGCACTGTAAGTAGCTATAATAAAATGATCTGAAAATTAAAAGTAACTCCTTCAGTTTTTCAGTGGAAAGTAATTTAAATACACTAACTTAACCCATTACCCCAAGCATCGTTTGCATGTACCACACAACCTCTTGTGCAATATAAATAACAGGCAATGTAGATTAGCAGTTTTCAGACTTTATTTGTTCAAAACATGTAACAACATTTATTAACATCATAGTATAAAACATGACATTGTCAAACAATCTTAAAAACAGCACTTGTATACTTTTACAGCACAGGTGTCAAACTCAGTTCCTGGAGGGCTGCAGCTCTGCGCAGTTTAGTTCAAACCCTAATGAGCTATATGTACCACTAGTGTTTTTCAGCCAATGATGAATCTCCGGTGAAAGCTTTATGTGACTATTTTTAATTTCATAAGGTTCCCTTTACAGCATCAATGTTGTAATGTTATTCAAATATAATCAGTTAAATAGACTTAACCATCCATTTGGTTGTTGAATCGTTAAAGAGGCGAAAAACCATTTAAACACAGGCGCCGTCATTAGTAGCTGGCTAGCGCCAAAAATACATTGAAAATACTGGTGTAAATTAATTTCCATATTTTAAAGACAAGGCAGAGGGAAATATAATTCAATGCAGTGCTTCTTGTGTGGTCTGATACCCACTTTATATTATATCCCAGCCAGGCATCGACGAGCGCTGTATTTTAAAAGAAATCAGACCACAGTAATTTTGTATGGACTGAAATTAAAAGTCTGTGTGCATATACCCTATTAAACACACCTTATCAAACAAATTGAGTGCTTTAGGCTTGTTCGATGCCTACAGATAGGTGTGTTGAAGCAGGACTGGAACTAAACTCTACAGGGCTTCAGCGCTCCAGGAGTTTGAGACCACTGGTTTACAGCATAAATATCAAAAGAAGGCACAGTTGAGCTTAAGTGCAAGTAGAAGCCAAAATTTGGACATAAAGATATAAATAGTCCATTAAATCAAACAAGACATGACAAAAGTTATTTAATAATTCACAGGTTATCACGCATCCTAATTGATCTAAAGTTCTGTAACATTAAACAAACAATAAAATAGATAATACAAGAGCCTTTAGGACGAGGCTTCTGAAACATAGCCTAATCAAAACCACCTGAACTCAATTAAGGAAAATGAGCAGCAGGTGAGTTTGACCAGTGTTCTGGAGCTGCGACAGGTTTAACTACTAAAATTTGTGGCTTTGACCAGAAGTCAAAATCCAATCAGTCAGCATTCCTGCTATAAAGGTCAGTTCTTTTTAAAATCAATACAGCAGTATTCATATTGTGGTCATTAAAAACAGTCAATACCTGCAGTTAAGAGACCATAACTAAACGGTGGCTCAAATAATCAACCTTGGAATGTAAAGCACATTTGCACTATAGACAGCTTTGCTGATTGCATACGGATACTATTCAGTTCTTCCAGTGTAGGCACTTTAGAGAAAGATTTAAACATTTGTTATACCTACTATAAATAATCAAATAAAATAAAAAAACTGCCAAACACTCCTGAACAAATCCTATATTTCTACATTAAGATATTCCCAAAATGTCCAACCACACTGGTTTTCCATATGGGTGTGTCCCTTTACAGAAAGAACCCCTTAACTGTTGGTTTTAGCATTGACAGAGACAGCGGGGCCAAACATGATCATCTCCATCTGTTCTGTTCCTACATTCAACCAATGTCTTCATCTAACCATACACAAAAATGATTCTATTCAAGTGTGTGCTCATGTTTGGCTTGTTTTGTCAGGACCAAAAAAGTAAAGTAATACACCTTTAGCTCTTCTTTGGATAACTTTTTGTAGGTTGAGAGCGGGAGAGGAGGAGGGGGGCTCTTTTAATAGTGGATGTAATAAACCTATTTATTACGTGTATATGTTAACAGCCATGCAGCTGGCTTTCTGCAACCCTCACATGGTCACCTAATGAAGCCAAGCAGGGCTGTGCCCGGTCAGTACCTGAATGTGAGACCACATGGGAAAGCTGGGTTGCTGCCAGAAGTGGTGTTAGTGAGACAAGCAGGGGGCGCCAAACCGGTGCTCTGTGTGGGTCCTAATGCCCTAGTATAGTGACGGGGACTCTATACTGCTCAGTGCATGCCATCTTTTGGATGAGACCGTAAACTGAGGTCCCGACTTTCTGTGGTCGTTAAAAAGCCCAGGATGTCCTTTGAAAAAAAAAGAGTAGGAGTTTAACCCCGGCATCCTGGCCAAGTCAACCCTCTGTCCATCATGGCCTCCTAACCATCCCCATATCATAATTGGCTTCATCAATCTGTCTCCACTTCACCAACCCGCTGGTGTATGGTGTGCAGTCTAGTGCAATATGGCTGCTGTCGAGTCATCCAGGTGAATGCTGCACACTGGTGGTGGATGAGGAGATTCCCCAAAAAATGTGCAAAGCGCTTTGAGTGTATAGAAAAGTGCTATTTAAATGTAAGGAATTATTATTATGATTATATCACTCTGCAGCCCAAGACCAGTAACTCATTGAAGTTAAGCAAGGCTGAGTCTGGTCAGTACCTGGATGGGAGACCACAACCTTTGGTCTACTGCCCCAGTACAGTGAAGGGGACACTATACTGTCAGTAAGCTCCGTATTTTGGATGAGACGTTAAACCGAGGTCCTGACTCTCTGTGGTCATTAAAAATCCCATGGCACTTCTTGTAAAGAGTAGGGGGGTAACCCTGGTGTCCTGGCCAAAAGTGTCTTCATTGGCCTTTCAATCATCCCCATCCACTAAATTGGCTTTATCACTGTCTGTCCACTCCACCTATAGCTGATGTGTGGTGAGCGAGCTGGCGCTGTTGTCCTGTGGCTGCTGTCGCATCATCCAAGTGGATGCTGCACACTGGTGTTGGTGTGGAGAGACCCCCTCATGATTGTGAAGTGCTTTGGGTGTATGGCCATACACAATACATTACATTACAATACAATATGTTTACATGGACACCAATACTCCGATTATAATATGATTAAGATAATGCAGTGATATAACTTAAGTGGACAGTTTTTGTTGAAAGTGGGTAATGTGCTGAGAATTCTCCCATCAGTCCTTACTGCGTACTCCCATTAAGTCCCTCTGAGTTTGCCAAAGGAGGCATAAATGAAAAGTTAATGACAGAAATGGCAGACGGAAATTTAAAAAACTGCCAAAATCACATATGGTGCCATCACAAAAACGAACTGTTGTTGCGTGAAATGTCGAAGGAAACTAGAGTTAAATTGTGACATAATGGTAACCTCAAACTATGTACTATTTAAAAATGCAAACAAGAAAAGAATATTCAAAAGAGAACTCCCGTAAAACACTAGGGCTGCACAATATATCGTTTCAGCATCTATATCGCAATGTGCAGATCTGTAATAGTCACATCGCAAGATACGCAATGTTGAGTCTGAATTCTTGTTGAAAACGAGCTACAGAACATGCGGTTTGTAGAGTCACTGCAAAGTTTAACCATAATAGAGTGAAGGTTTATCATTTGCATGTGTTTTTAAGGCCTGTGAGTAAGCATTTCAAGAGTTAAAAATATGATGTTTGTGGTGTAACCAATAATTATGCATAAGTATTTATACAATTTATGCTAAAATTTGAATTTTTGTCTTGTTTCTAAACAAAATTATTTTATTTGCCCTAGTGGCAGATCATTTAGTTTGTTTTAAGGAAAAACTTTAAATTGAGTTATTTCTTCTGAAGGTGAGAATAAAGCAATATTAGGAAACAAGACCATACAAAGTTAAAAAAGCATTTTTTGTATTGTTTGTATTGTACCTAAATAATATTCAAGTCCCCAGAAAACTGCCAAACAGAGCTATTCATCTCGTGAAATTGTATTCATAATCACAATATTTAATAGCAGAAAAATAAAACATCGCAATATCAGATTTTTCTAATATCCTGCAGCCCTAGTAAACACCTTAATCATATTATTCTCATATTCAGATTAAAGCAAACAATTTGATTACTGATGTCCATGTAAACATAGTCAATGTCTAGAAGTTCATTAGCTGAAGATCCATTTCTGCACTACACCAAACCGCATCCCAAAAGACAATTGCAATCAAAAGGGTACAACCATAAGTTTGAAAGAATGAATCAGTCCCTGAAATGTTTTGAGTATAGTGTGGTTTCCTGAGCTGACTTGAGTTAACTTGGCCGGTTTCCTGAGTTAACTTGGCCGGTAATGGTTGGAGAGACCAATTCTCTATCATTGTGGCAGTCATTGTGTGCATTTTAATGGCATTTTGAGAACTGTAGCTTGGCTGGTCATCACTTCATTAAATGATCATCTATACAGAAAAGAGGTACAATGTTATGTTTTGCAGTTCATTTAGTAATATTTTGTTTAGCCTTTAATCATTAGCTTTTGAAGTGTTTTATTTTTTAATCTATTTCTACATTTGCAAAACATTGCCCAGAATATCTAAAAGTGAAAGAAATACTCACATTCGACAGTATAAAAATATATGAAAGAAACATTCCTTTCCATCTGTGTGTATGTGTGTAAATTTACCGAAAATCTACTATATTGTGATGTACAGTATACCGTTATGAGGGTTGGGCACGGTCCTTTAAAGGAGTAATTACTTCAAGTAATTAGTTCTAGTTACTTCTCACAAATAGCAATGGAGTAACATATTTACAAAAATAACTAATTACCAGGGAAAGTAACTATTGCGGTTAAAAAAATCTAATCTGTCAAATGACTATAAACTAGTGTAGGTTACATGTACAATGTTTTATATGTATTTTAAAGTTGTTGTTGTTGTGGGACAATGTGAGAGACAATGGCAGTATGTCCTCAATTATATATGCAGATATTACCTTGTTTAATTCTGTCTCAGTAATTATTGTTTGCGGTGAAGAAAGATTTGTCTCCTCCTTTGGTAGCAGAGCTCACATTATCACCTCCTAAGCCACTAATTTTGTGGTGGCATGTGACAATGTGAGGTGCTTCATTAGTTTAGATTTACATGTCACCGACGCAGAGACTTTTTTTTTTTTTTTCCTGGTCATAAGTTGTATGATACAAAGTATGCTGCCAGTGTGAATGTGAGAAGCAGCTATTGACATGTTGTAAACAAGCTTAATCAAACAGTATTGAATAACAATTTACAATCCTACTAGCCTTTTATCTGGTCAATCATAAATTAATTGATTTGTTTACTTGTTAAACGATAATCAATAATGGGAATTTGTGGAAAACGACATTCTGTCTACAATTTAAATAAGATTTATTGTACAGTTTAGAAGTATCTGATGATTTTACAAGTGTTGAGAATGGACCACCTTGATCATGGGGAACACTCATAACTGGTTTTTCATTTCTTCTCTGTTCGAACATTTGTTTTCAATACTATTAAAGTAGTTCATGTGACTCCTCTATTTGTAAATATTTCTTATGCACAAAAAGCAATCAATGCATTATTCATTTACCATAGTTCTACATGCAAATACAAATGGTTCATCTTACCACTGTAAAAACAACATCAGTTTTTTCACCATGGACGGACAGAGCTTTGGCCAACATATGGTGATGTTTCTTCCTCTGAAAGTTTGATTTCTGTAAAAAACATTATATACTAAAATTATTTTTTACAGTTTCTTGGATGATACTTACAGTACATCATTCATAGCATTTCACCTTTTCCACATTTTTTTTTTTTTTTTGTTACAGCCTTATTCCAAAATTTATTAAATTCATTTATTTCCTCAAAATTCGACACACAATAGCCCATAATGACAATGTGGAAAAATTGATTTTTTTTTTATTAGTTAGAAATATATTGGAAAAAAAAATAATGAAAAATCACATGTACATAAGTATTCGCAGGCTTTGCCGTGAAGCTCTAAATTGAGCTCGGGTACATTCTGTTTCCCCGGATTATTCTTGAAATGTTTCAGTAGCTTAATTGGAGTATACCTGTGGTAAATTCAGTTGATTGGACATTATTTGAAAAGACATACACCTGTCTATCTAAGGTCCCAGGGTTGACAGTGTATGTCAAAGCACAAACCAAGCATGAAGACAAAGGAATTGTCTGTAGACCTCCCAGATGGGATTGTCTCGAGGCACAAGGCTGGGGAAGGTTACAGAAAAAAACATTCTGCTGCTCTGAAAGTTACAGTGAGCACAGTGGCCTCCATCATCCATCAGTGAAAGATGTTTGGAACCACCAGGACTCTTCCAAGAGCTCGGCGGCCATCTAAGCTGAGTGATCGGGGGAGAAGGGCCTTAGTCAGGGAGGTGATCAGTAATCAATAATCCGATGGTCGCTCTGTTTGAACTCCAGCGTTCTTCTGTGAAAAGAGGAGAACCTTACAGAAGGACAATCATCTGCAAAGCAATCCACTAGGCTTGCCACGATAGACTGTGTTGACGGTGATACTGGTTTTAAGACGCAACACCGGTGACATCACTTTTCCACCGTGACACTATGCCCACATTTTTTTTTTTTTTAAGTATTTGATTTTCTTATTATTAAATATTTATTTGAATTAAATGGAAAATATAATAATAAATAATTGACTTAAGACGAGAGCATGCTCTATAATTAAAACCTGAACATAGCTACAATGCGTCATATTTATTTTATCACGTGAAGAAAACAATAGGAGTCGATGTTACAGAAAGAGAATGGTGGACGATTTAGTGTCAAAACGCAATGCAAAAGCGCCTGTTTGGCAATATTTTTGGGTTCTAACCAAATGCAAAAAGAGAACCTGAAGACGTTAATGAGGCAATCTGCAAACTTTGCCTGACAAAGGTGGCAGCATGTAGAGAAAACATAACTAATTTATACATGCACCTTTATGGTTAACTATGGGTGGGTCGCGGATAAATCAATTGCCATAAATACGCAACGCATACTCTCATTTTAAAAATCATGCGACCATCATCTCACAATGTTTAATAATAATTTTTTTTTTAACGAGTGATTTAGCAATGCCACGCCATTGACAATCCAACTGCTGAGAAACAACAACGTGGCAACCGCAGTGAGCATTTTTATCCGAAGTACAGCTGTTCTTTTTAGTGCTTGATTATGTGATTTAATGTTAAAAAAAAATCAATAATGAATAGGCCGACTAGAGTGCATCCTGTGTGTGCATGCATCTTTTATAACTGAGGCTGCTTAATTCAAAAACTGAAAGTTGCTTCGTCTGTCTGGCAAGATTCCGGCTTTTAATCGAATGAAAAGTTCATTTAGATGAGCCAATATTAAACATTGCAATAACAATTTGTAGGTTATCTGTAAAATGTAATTCAAGCCAATGTTATGGAGTAGTGTAGCCTATTAATTATATTAAATCTAATAAAATTAAAACCAAAATATACCATTCATTGTATTTTTCATTTGATAAAATGTATGTAAATGAAAAAAATCAAAGGGTGGCTAATTAATATTACTGTCCACCGAACTCCATCTGAGAGAGATTGTTACTCGATAGACAACATTAACTTGAGAGATTTTAAAAATAAAAGGTATTTTTAAAAAGGAACACGCAAATCTGCAACAAATAAAACTAAAAATAAAACGTCTTGCCAGCGCTGTGTGTTTTCCACCAAGGACAGTGTAAAACGCCCTTATGCAGCGCCTGTCAACTGCCGTTTGTAAGAGAGATCAAAGCTGGTATCGATATAACCAAAAAGCAAGATCAAATAGTTATAAATATTCCATAACAATACTTATCGAAATATTTATACATTTACATGTTGTTTATTGAGATTGTGTGATCTGGATAGGCTGTCTGATTTTTACAGAAGCTGTAAACTGACACACCTGCGGTGATGTTTAGCTCTTGACAAGGCGCTTTTATTTAGCCTGTAGTCTTTACATTTTTTTACATAATATTCCATTTCTTAACATTTCTTTCTTTTTTATTATTTATAGTTTATATATAAAATGAGTGCTAGCTTGTTTAGTTGTGATCTTTATGCAAGGATCATATTTCATATTCGGCTTATTCTTCAATAGCCTTCAGTAATAATGTATATTATAAACGGATTGTTCATAAGGACTAAGCTATTAATATATAATATAGGCGTTTATGGTTGTTATTTGTATGGTTCCAACTTCCAAAGTTTTTTAAGTCTGTAGAATTGTTGTGTTTTATTCGTTATGTTAATAAAATATATGTGTTTAACAATGATTTATTTTTTTGTTTTTATTTTTTTTTGTAGTTTCCTTTTCGTCCATTCAAACAATTGATGCTGAATTGGCGATTCCCGCAAAACTGAAAGTGAAAGTATAATATGCACGCATTTATAAGCTATTTAAAACGACCAAGAAACGACCACGCTCGCAGTGATACCGGTATTACCGGTGTTGTCACATGTTGATTAACATGTGGAAAAAATTTCCTTATCGTCACAACCCTACAATCCACCAATCAGGCCTCTATGGTAGAGTGGCCAGACGGAAGTCACTCCATGCCTGGAATTTGCCAAAAGGCATCTGAAGGAGACTCGGACCATAAGAAACAAAATACTTTGATCTGATGAGTCTAAAGGGGAACTCTTTGGAGTGAATGCCAGGCGTTACGTTTGGAAAAAAACAGGCACCACTCATCACCAGGCTAATACCATCCCTACAGTGAAGCATGGTGGTGACAGCATCATGCTTTGGGGGTGTTTTTCAGCAGCAGGAACTGGAAGACTAGTTGGGATAGAGGTAAAGTTGAATGCAGCAATGCACAGAGATATCCTGAATGAAAACCTGCTTCAGAGCGCTCTTCATGTGGCTTCACAACAACTTGGTAAATGTCCTTGAGTGGCCCAGCCAGAGCCCAGACCTAAATCCTATTGAACATCTCTGAAGAGATCTAAAAATGACTGTACACCATCGCTTCCCATCCAACCTGATAGAGGTTGAAAGATACTGCAAAGAGCAATTCCCAAGGACAGGTGTGCCAAGCTTGTGGCATCATATTCAAAAAGACTTGAGGCTGTAATTGCTGCTAAAAGGTGCATCAACAAAGTATGGAGCAAAGGCGGTGAATATCTATGTACATGTCATTTTTCAGGTTTTATATTTGTAACAAATTTGCAAAAATTAAAAAAACTATTTTTTTTCACATTGTCATTACGGGCTATTGTGTGGAAAATTGATTAAATAAATTTAATCCATTTTGGAACAAGGCTGAAACCTAAAAAATTGGGAAAAGTGTAAGGTTATGAATACTTTCTGGATGCACTGTAACATTTTACACTACAATAATTAAATACACAATTATATTGCCCAATAATACACGTTTGCTATTCTCATTTATGAACCGCTGTTCTATTCAGCACAAGTCAACATCATATTAATGAATGACAATCAAATATTACAATCTGCTATTTGAAGGCTTTCAGATACACACCAGTCTCATCCGGCCCACGGCAGCACAGGAGTCTCCAGGCTCTTCTGAGATGCCTCCGCACACGGACAAATACCCCACCTGCGGTTAAAACACCACTGAGAAAAGCCGAGTTTTGTGCGAAAACCATTTAGAAATAGCTCAAACTACGCTTAAAACGGTCTTATCGGTTAGTCAGATCGCACAATAAGTATTTAACGAAGCCATTGTGAAAGTGATGGTCGTGTGCTAGCAATAGTGGCGGACTGGGACAGTGTTTTTTGCCCGGGACTTCAGGCCGCATGAATGAAGTTCAGTAACTATTGAAGTGAAGAGGGATGGGGTGGTGGTTGGATTGAGCGATCGGTAAGCAACAGTTTGACGGTGGCTGGGGGGTAACAGGCCAGATTTACGGTGGCGGGTCAGACTGAGCATCAGGCCACGGGGATATGTAACCTGTCAGTTCGCCACCACTGACTAGCAACCACCATCGTATACTGTAACGTTAACTCAAGACGTTTATTCGCTATTGTCTACAAATGACACATTTTTGCATGTTTTTTGCAATGTTTTCCTGTGAAATTACACCAGTTATATATATATATAATGAATTATAACTTGTTAACTTTATCTACTTGATAAAGTCGACTTTTGCGAGAAATCACCGGAACGAAAACAGGTTGCGCTCCAGACATCTGCATTAAGACACGCGACACCATTTCTTACCTCGAAAGTTGGAGTCCATTTCGTTGCAATTCTGTGTAGAGCACTTTGTACTAATGTATCCGTTGTAAACTTTTCTTACAATGTCGAAAAACATACGCGCAGTGTCATGGTGCATCCAAAACGTGCATCTGTGAGTTTGTAGGCGTGACTTCGCGCAACAGCCCATATTATTCACGCCCTCCCATCATACCCTTCTCTCTCCATACCTATGCTCCATACGCGAGAAAGGTATAAAAAGAGGTCGGAGCCAGCTCTAAGCGAGCAGTACAAACCTACCTAGAGTTATCATTTTTAAGGTCTTGTTGTACGTCACACGGAGTCCAACCTATTTTGTTTGTTTTATTAATGTCACCTAACGCAAACCTAACCTCACAGTAACTTATGGTGAAGTGTATATACAGTTGAAGTCAGAATTATTAGCCCCCCTGAATTATCAGACCCTCTGTTTACTTTTCCCCTGTTGAGATTTTTTTTCCAACTAATTTCTGAACATAAGTTTTATAACTCATTTCTAATAACTTATTTATTTTTGTCTTTGCCATGATGACAGTAAATATTATTTGACTATATATTTTTCAAGACATTTCTATACAGCTTAAATTGACAATTAAAGGCTTAACTAGGTTAATTACAATAAGGGTAGGGTAATTAGGCAAGTTATTGTATAATGATGGTTTGTTCTGTAAACTATCTAACAAATATATAGTATATACTGTTAAAATTTCCTTGCTCTGTTAAACATCATTTAGAAAATATTTTTAAAAAATCAGAGGGGCTAATAATTCTGGCTTCAACTGTAAGTGTACAAGTGTATAACAATAAGAAAGTACTTTAGTCATCCTCTATACCTTGTTTTACTGGCATTACAATTTGACTGTTTTATTAAAATGTTAAATATTGTAAATATTTAAAAGTTAGAATTTTGTAGTAATGTGACAGTTTTTCATAACATCCAAGCATTCTATGAATCAGCAGGGGGATTTAAATGAATCTTTAATTCACAGCTTCAGCAAATAGTCCAAATTGCATTCATGAGCATCTTGTCACATAAATGATGTATAGCAAACATTAAAGTGTTTGGTGTAAATCAGTCATTGTTTTTGTGGACATAACTGTACATAACAAAAACAGCTGTAATTTAAACGAGGTTTTTATCATACAGTAATGCAGTGTATAAGACCTCCAGGGACAGCAAATGGAAACACAATGCTGTTTATTTTGCACACATACCCTGAGACAAAGCATTTACATGCCGTCTAATGCCACATAAATTAACACAACCAAATGGATAATAATATAACTTTATTGACAACAACCTCAAGACATACTGCAAGACATGTTTTTAAACCAAAAATAATTTAATCAAAGTACAAGTCTTCACAAACATCAATATTTTTTTTAATACTGTATTTCCTTTTACAGTTTAGCAGCTTCATCATACACTGCATCGATAGTATAAAACAAAAATAAATATTACTAAATAAGGCACAGTTGGACAGCACTTACATAGTCCATGTAAGTAAAATCATTGTGCATCTCAATCAGCTCCCTATCTCTGAATCCATTGTGAATTGTACAAGAATATGTAAACTGGAAAGCACATTAAGAATCATGGCCAAAATTGCATTGAGACGTGAAAATATGTAGTGCAGCATCACTACTGGTATTTATAAATTACAATAAAACTGAACTTTATTGTACAGATATCTACAGACAGATGTTTTATTTGTATTATTTTGTTTTAATCAAACATGACAGGTGAGCTTTAATGATTCCTGCTTTTTACAGTACATAGTGGGAGCACACATTTTAGTGCACTGGAAGAATTTTGTGATTCAGACCACTCAAAATAGTGGAATCCCTGAGCAGTGCCCTCTCTACTGAACAAGGAAGCTGATTGAGACACAACAGGATGGGAAATTTTACCGGACTAAAATAAAAAACCTTTAGCATAGGGTTTCTTAGCTGATCCAGGTCAAATGATCAAATCCTACTTCAAGATAACTAGAAACTACAACAAGATCTTCCGAAAAGTTGAAAATCTGTTATGAAAAGCATTTTGGTGAAACCATGTTTATTATGGGGCCAGATCAGTCTCAATATTAATATTAACAAAAAAAAAACATATACACACAGCACAACTAACATTTACAAAATACAGTTTGTACATTTGTATGTAAAATCATGAATATTTTCACCAAATAAATTGGATTTGTGTATTTTTGTATAATGTTTTGAACTTCTTAATTGAGTTTGCATATTTTTTTTAATTGAGTTTTGACTTTACAAATTGGATTTGCGTATTTTTTTTAACTGTTTTGAACTTGCATATTGGATTGTAATTTTTTTTTCATGTTTTGAACTTACAAATTTTTGTATTTTTGAATCGTGTTATAAACCACCTAATTGTATTTTCGTATTTTTAAATTCTATTTTGAACTTAAGAATAAAACTGTTGTATTTTTGAACTGTTTTGTACTTACAAATTGGATTTGTTATATACTTTTTTTTTTTAACTGTTTCCAACTTACGAATTGGATTTTCGTATTTTTTGAATCGTGTTATAAACTACCTAATTGTATCCTTACATTTTTTTTTTAAATTCTATTCTGAACTTATGAATAATTTTTGTATTTTTGAACCGTTTTGAACTTGCGAATTGGATTTTTTTTTTTTTACTGTTTTGAACTTACGAATTGGATTTTCGTATTTTTTAATCGTGTTATAAACCACCTAATTGTATTTTCATATTTTTAAATTCTATTTTGAACTTACAAATAAATTTTGTATTTTTAAACTTACGAATTGGATTTGCATATTTTTTAACCATTTCTGAAATTTACCAATTGGCTTTTGTAAATGTGAATTGTGTATGTATAAATTTTATTTTGTAAATGTATCATTTTTGACTGATCTAGCTCCAGTTTAAAAGTGGTTTTCTTCAGATGACCAACTGAGTCAGATTTCAGTCAGCCACTATTCACAGCAACATTAATATACTTTTTACATGTGGGGCTGAATCAAACAAAACTCAATTTTCTGTTAATACAAACCCCTCCAGTTAAAACAAATCCTAAGTAACAATACATAAAGATTGTGCTTTTTTCACTACATTCCAGTGTAGACAGCACCCCAGACAAATATCAATAGGTATTCCCGACAGATTTGACTTGACTTTCATACGGTAACACTTTTTCAAATGCCATATCCTGTGGTGATGTGGAGGTTAACTGCTGCAATAGTTACTGATTCACGCTTGTTTTTTGCATATAATACATACAGCAGTGCTGATTTGTTTCATCAATGCTTCTACTAATGATAACCTGTCTGCACTAAATAAATAGCATCAGCTGGTGACCAAATATGCCTTGCTATTTACTTTTACAAACAACCGAAATGCTCCCAGTGCGGTACAACAATAAACGAGAGTACAGCAGAAGGTCAAGTGGTAAACGCAGTGAAATTTAACATGCTAAAACTAGAGTTACCCACTGACAGGTAAAAGCTACTTCTCTCTGTCTCTCTCAGCTGTTGTGTTGGGGCTGATGAATAAAGACTCACTGGCCAATGTTTGCATATGTACATGTGCAACCAATGGTAGCATGCAACAAGGCGAGGCAAGAAGAGAACAGTAACAGAAATGCAAAAATTCATACAATTAATGACTACTGTAGAAAGCAAATGCAGAATGCTGGACATTTTAAAAGATTAAGAAATCCTGATGTCCTCTTTTTGGCCCAAAAAGGGGACACATGGTCACTGTCACTCTAACTATAACAAATCAAAGCACATATACAGCTGTATACACTTCTCTTACTTTAATGCTTCACCTAAATTAATCTGAACCTTTACCTTTGCATATTTAAACTCTGTTTTAGAAATCACCAAATTTAATCAAGAAGGGTGTAATTGAAATAACTGTCATGTATCTAATGCCGTTTCTACTTATTATATTAATATATTCAATACTGAGAATATAAAAGTCATGCCTTTTTAAATAACAACCCTCTCACTAAGAAAAACAGTTCACCCAAAAATGTCACTTTAAGGTGCTGTATGCAAGTTTTTGACTTTACAGATATTTGAGAATCTTGTCAAGTAAACATTCTTGTTTATCTGAAAAACAGTGCTGAAGTCAGTCATTCTGCTTTAAAAATGTCTGTAAACTACCAGAACTCTTTTGGTGCTTTTATCCCATCCACATTTTAGCCAATTATATTTCAGCACCACGGGTTGCCTTGTTGGAGAACCATGTGTTTCATGCATTTATTCAGAAAGGCTCTCAAAGCATGCGTCTGTGATCGAAATGTGACCTCCGGTGGACAGTAGCAGACTCCTAAATGAGGTGAAGGTTCAGTGTTCCACAAAGTTATTAATTGGCAAATAATAATATAAATATGAAAGTAAACATTAGGTGAGCAGGTTACATTGTACCCCCATTTCCTAACAACACGATACGTGAGAAGATTTGCAGTGATAAGCATTTTGGCTGTTTCCTCCTGAATGGTATTGAAATTTCTGCCCTGTTTTGTCTGAAGCACAGAATATGCAAAGTTCAAGTTCAAACGGTTTGTTTTATTTTCAAGATCTGGGGTGAACTATCTGCTCCTGCTTTCAGCATTATGGCAATAAATCTCACTTAAATAGCATTTAAACTTACATTATTAGCATTTAACACTGAATAAAGCACGAGGTGTACCTGAGGTGATCATTGTCAGTTTTCTGTTATTCAGCTGCAAGAAATAGAAGCCGTTTCTAATATATCAATTTGTGGTGTTAGTGAGGAGAAACTCGTTTAAATATGGAAAATATTCCTTCTTTCGCATGTTGTTGCTTTTTATATAGAACACAATTTAAATCATCCTTTAGGCTCAACCGTCACTCCTGTTGGTCGTCAATCTGGCAACCTGCGTTTGCATTTGTTTTGATCCAGGAATGCAATACCTAGCTCAACCACTGGGTGTCAAACTTACATACTGCATCTTTAACTTTAACACAAGGTATTTTGTTTGGTTGTTTTTGTTGTTTGTATATCAATGGTAAGCATAAACGTTTGCCTGAAACATTCTTTGAACTTTCTTTTGAACAAATAATAAAACAACAATTTCGATTTCTGGGTGAACTGTTCTTTCTTTAAAGAGTTACAAGTAAGAAGGCATGATCAGGCAGCTGTAGAAGTAACTTAATCCATTGTTAAAACCCAGACAAAATTGGTTTTGTGACCACCACAAAAAAAATCATCAAATTATAGAGCCTCATTTACTAACAATAGTTAAATTGCTAACTGCATTGAGATTTACACAAAATTCCCACTAGATTCATAACTTGTGCCTAAAGACTCAGATTGAATGTATATAATTCTAAAAGATGCAAGTGATTTATTTTGTGTGCCATGAGCACTTTCCTTGGCTTATTTCGTAATTTATTATGGGTCACCACAGCAAAATGAATCACCAATTATTCTGGC